TGTTTTCGGTGAAAACTGCCTGTGAACCAGAAACTCGAACATAAAAATAGACAGGGGAATCCGGAAGACAGTATATACATCTTTCTTTTCGAAATGGATGTGAGCAGCTGTTGTTTTAACTTTTAATTGGTATTAGACGACTTGCGAGATTATAAAAGTAACGAAAACGGTTCTAGTGTTGATGATGGATGACCGATTAATAAACTTTGTGGTTTCTTACAGCGAATTCTTTGGGCTTTTTAAGATTTCAATCGCACGTTCCCTAAAATCAAACGGACACGTATGTATTAACAGAGAAATATTTATTTTAATTCCAAATAACATCTGTTTTTAAACAGTTCCTTATTTCACGTCAAATACCTGAATGTATTAATATCATACAGATTAATTTAGTATTAAAAACAAAGAATAAGCAAGAATGCTTTGACGTCCTCGTTACCAAATTATATTATCTACTCTTCGGTTAAACCGGTTACCTCGTTTTATACGTTCTAACAATAGTACTAGTTTTATTTACATATCGATTTAAGGCTTCGATCATCCAAAAAAGCAATTGCTACACGCGCCGTTGCTGCATTGGAAAGGCAAAAGTATGTTACGTAACGTTTTATTGTGTAAGCGGTTAGTGAAAGAAGTTGTCCCACCACTAGCTGCTGCAGTATTGCATACGGCATGACAACGGGCGGTCGACTCCGCGTCCATTCGCATCGCGAACTTCGCCCCGAAGTGTAATCTAGTAATCACTGCTCAAACTAAAGTTAACACGGTTGTGAAACCCGGATAATTGGATCTGTGTACGAATGAATACATATGTATGAATTTTGTTTATTTGTTTACATTTTAGTTTTTTTTTTGTTTAGATTTTACTTCTGGCACTCCGTGTACCATAACAGTTTGATATTTTAAAGTGCTGTGTTGTTTACGCCATGCGTTTTATTGGGGTCTACATTTTTCATGATATATCAAAGCAATGCTACACGACACGTCTTATGTTTTAATGACTTCGCATTAAGAAAATACTTGTTGCAGAAATTGGCGTATGATTTCGCGTTGTGACATAAGTTGACATAGCAAATGATTACACATTACCACTTGTCTGCAAAAAATTACACATCGACCACTGAAATTTGTGGAAATACAATGACGAATGGAATGGAATCGACAACCTCGCTGTTTATTAGGATGTTAGCAACGTTATTCTATACCAAGAACAATAAATATGGTAACTTCGTAATAACGTTACATCGAAAAGTTAAGTAAGCTTGCGGTAACGGTGAAGTAAATTAGAAAGCATGAGGCGTTTGTGTCCAGTACGATGCGGTACCCAAGGCTGAAGTAGCGGCTGGCTAACGGGACCCGTGTGCTTGAACTATTTTATGACCACAGAGCGCATTGATCACCTTATTTTACGATCAACAAACAAGAAAAACGCTCGAGATTGCAGAGCTCGTAAACGTTCGTCGATTATGTGGGTGATGGTGATCCGGGAATTTCTCCCGTGGATAAAATAGAGAATCAATTAGTGACAGAGAATAACTCAATGTCATTATCTAGTCAAACGATAAACTTCTAGGATTCGCTGAGCAAATGAGTTCGATGGTTTCATTTTTTAGTCACAAATAACGTGTGACATTCGTGATGCAACTGATTTCGCTAGTCATACTTCGCAAAAGAAATAACTAGGTAAGCACTAACGTTTGCAGTTGAGTAATTTCACTTGTCCTTAAAACGCAAGTAAGTAAGTAGTAATAAATTAGAATCACGGCCACGGAGTAACTTATTAAAAGGAAGAAAAAATAAATCACTCGGAAACTGCCTAACATCGGAAATAAATACTAGTACCGCTGTTTAGGGTACAATTAAAAAGAGGAATTACAATCTATATCCTTATTGACGACCACGTGTATCGTGTTGGTTGAGGCCGCCCTCATCCGAGCCAGACAAACATCCGCTGTTTACTTATTTTGCTTACATAATGTACAAAACAAACACGGCTCTACAATCGTATGTAGATTAAATTAAACAAGATTCGGAGTAAACAATTCTTTGTAAAACACTTATTATGGTCTATTTTTGTGTGCTGCAAAATGTTTACCATCTCAGCCCTCCAGATCTCATGCTATTTGTGTGATATGACCTCTGTTTTAAACTCTGTAAGGTCGTATTTTTCTTGAGTCGTTTCCTAGTATTGCCTGAAGGTGAAGACATATGATACAAAAGTTGGTTTGGTACTAACATTAAACCAAACATCTTCAGGCAACCGATTATCTTTCTTGTCTTATCGAGGTTACTATAAATTGTTTAAAAGTCTAAAGTATATGAGATTTTATACGTACCTACAACCTAAAATCAACTTAAAAAATAATGCCAATTCTGAATAACATTCAACCGTTAGACTCAAGCACTGCACTGAAGTATTGACAGATCACATAGAGGTAGAGAAAAAAAAGAAGTAGGTCCTAGTTGATTGACTAACGGGTGAATCATTTTCGTGCTCAAGTATCCTCTTCATCCATTGCCACATACCTAGTACTTTTGCGACTGACACAATTTGTAAAAACTAACGGTTACCGTTCGATAATTGACTTTATAGTGCCATACGTAGAGCTTATAATGCCTAATTAGATAAGTTGCATGAGTCATTACAGCTGCGTAATTCATTAGATTTTCATTAGCCTCGTAACAATAATGATTTGGTGTTAATTATTACTTGCTCCATGTTTCATTAAAATATAAGTAGGACACAAAATGTTCGAGAAAAAACACTCTTAATCATATTGGAATTTTTATCTTTCCAAATCCTTTAGAATACGTCACTCGGGAAGATATGAGACTAAGAAACATTATAAATGCATTATTTTTTAATTAACATGTACTTCCTAATATAAAGAACAATTCAATTAATTTGTTTATTTACGCATATGTACACAAAGTCGATAAATCAATTATTTATTCGTTACCTTTAAAAACTGAAGCACTTAGCAGTTAAAACTATGTTTTCTAATATTAAAGTTTAAGAAAACGAAATGAAGATAAACACATTGTTAGTTTAGATTGTTATGTCAGATCAGACTAGAACTAGACAATTAGAGTTACGTAAGAATACTCAATAAATAAATAATCGTAAAACTCATTAGAAGAGTAAGAATATTTGTTTGAACTATAAATGCTAAGTAAACCCATAATTTAAGGTCGTACCTCACAGTTATAATGAAAACAGTCATTTACGCGGAAGTAAACTTACACATGTTTTTATACTTACCGTAAATGGATGCAGAAGGTGCATAGCCTCATTAAATTAAAGACCTGCAGGTCGTAATTTTCGAAACATCAGACGAATAATTATCGTTAATATTCATCCTTCCCTTGACTATAGTGTTAATGACCCTTGGTCTGAGAAGAGAAGTCAGTGCCCAATGCTTGTGCCAAAAACCCAGCTGACGTAATCATTCGATAAAATGTCATTCTGATCACACATTTTGAATTCTTCAACATTGTAATGTACGTGCAAATCTGATTCGTCATATTTTAAGCCATCTCCTTTAATTTCTATGGAAATTACGTAACAAAAATGTATGTAACGGCACGTGTGATTGTTATTGTTGAAACGTGAGTGTGATATGTATTCTAACGATCTTTCAATTGAACAATCAGACGACTGTTTATTGTCATTGTTATTATATTGAAAGTCCTTTTATTTTACTTTGCTTACCATTACACATTGTTTATTGATTATGAAATATCCCATTTCCTTATTAATTCTATAAAAGTTAAGTTATTCTCGTGACTTTGACACATGTAAGCGTTTTACACATGTGTTGATTGATGTGTTCGATTCGATTAATCTACAAGCAGACTTCTAAGAAAGATTTCCTTCCCGACCCTTGCTCTCTTTGACCTTTGCTCATACATACATACACACATACATAACTTCACGCCTGTACCATGGGGTAGGCAGAGACTAAGGAACGCCAATTACTACGATTCTTACATATCTCTTTCGCTTCATACCTTTGCTCAAAGCTTACAAAATCATCTACTCCTAAATATGTAATCAATTTTTTTGTCTTTTACCTCAAAAGTTTCGAAAGGCAACTAAAACGATCTAAGTTTATCTCGGTTTTCATTTTTTTTACCACGCAAGTATTTCAATTGACTGTAAATATCTGGATTCTGTGATTTACATAGTCATGTGAATATCTCTTGTCACCTTGCCTTCCGATATTTATTCAAGATCATAACATCTATGCGACTATGTCATTATCGAAATATTTGTTTTGTATCAGTTTATTCTACAATTTACATTAAGGCACCGCATGTGGATAGATATCTTATGATGAAACACAGTGATGAAGAACGTTATACCTAAAATAGAAGTTGTTTAATTTTTGTCGAAAGCTGAGTCGCAGATATGTGTCATATTTTGCAAGTTCTCCAACCATATAAATAGGAATAATTTACTGCTCTGCGTTTTTATACAAAACACAAGATAACATATATGACACCATTGTAAAAGAGAATGTGTAAGGACGGTAAGATAATATAGAAGATTAATGCATCTAAAAATAGCTATTTTCCATATACACTCATAGCAAAGGTCAAGCATCACATGTGTATTCCTGGAGAAACCCCGCGTATAATAATGAATCTGTTATAAAGAATATCACCGTGTTTCTGCGGTTAACTTACCTTATAAATACTGCCGGTGAATAGTGCCGGTGCCATTTATGGATGAGGAGTTGAGACGTAGACACGATGCTCTTAATTAGGCCACATTATAACGTATTTTACCAAAACATTTTTGTATACATCAAACTCTGTGTTACATGTTGACCTTGAAGTAAAATCTAAAACAAAGTAAATATTCCATCTTCAACTATTAACATCTTATACATATTTACAGTGTTCAAATATTTGAGAGGACATGATAATGTGGTGAATAAGTGTGTCGTTAGTGATACAGTGAATTGTTAACTGTATTCTGAGATGTCTTGATAAAAATGTCTGCTGGTGTGTGGGACCTGATGCCGTCGAGAAGCCGGTGGATCGAGACGCTGCGGCACTGCGGCAAAACGCTGCTGCGCCGACAGAGGCGGCTGCTAAGGAGGTTAAAGAAGGTATTGTGTAACTGATGATTTGCGTGCTCCAACGACATTGAAACATCGCTGTTATAAGTTTTTAACAATAACACTAACTGCTAGTTAACGAATTATGGGTATTTTTTAAACATTATTTGCGTCCTTTTCTGTTTTCCTTAATAATAATTTACAAGCAGTCAGTAAGTAAATACTTACATAAATTATTTATATTTTCATTAATTTAAATAAATCGAAATACTTCGAATGTAATTAATGTAAAAATAGCCTTAGGTGAAGTCCATTGTTTTAGGTGAGTAATAAGATCTTGACTTTGAATAAAACGTTTAAAAGAAACACATACAAGCAATGCCGCAACGTTGATTAATCCGGCTTTTAAGTAGGGCCACAGTGGCACCACAATTTTACAAGAAAGTTGCTACAGTTTTCTAGATATTATGGGTTATGACGCTAAACATGAAACCCTGGGCTTGCTGCCATTGCAGCGGTAAGTCCCCTCTTTGAGGAGTGGTTTGAGAGACGCTACGGCGTTGGTCGACGGCGAGCATGGGTGGCTCACTGTCCGACCAGAACCAGACACGAGCGTACGGCGCGTCGCATTCCGCGCGCGCCTCAAAGAGCCATCCGACCACCGGCCCAATAGGGCTGATGCCGATTCGGAGTCGCGGAGAACCGTACCGGGTTACCGGAGCTCCGGCTCGAAGTGCAGAAGGAACGGTGTGATTTTTAGTCAGTAAGAGTCTGACACTCCCTTCTGCCTCACCCAGGCGGGAGCAGTCATTTGATGATTTTCCCCCCTTAAAAAAATAACAAATAAAAAACATGTAACCTGGTCAATAATACATTATATTATGATGCAGACTAATTTCATTATTCATTGACTAAGTACTGAACATTAATTAATAGATATTACTATGATGCTGATTATATTAATTATAATTTCATAATTTATTGACTCCGTATAGTGGTACACTTATACAAAGTGTATATAGTTGATCGAAATTGACTACCGAAAATTGTCATTTATCATAATTAATTTTCGTAATTCCAATAATTTATTCCATAAATTATGTTTAATACCTCTATACATATAATATAATCATCATGAATTTTAAAAGTAAATCACAAAATTCATTGTTTTGTCGATTTTATTTTTGAATATTTTAATCGTATCGAATTATACATAATATGGTGGTTTATTTGTCGGGTAATTAGCATAATTTATAAAATGAAAACAGTGTTAATAAAGGTGATATTGCAACATTAAAACGAAGTGTCCAACAGAATGTTGCTTATTGTTGATCTGTCCGCGCAACAGTCACGGACATCAGTACAATACAAAATTGTGAAATAACTTATTTTCATTTGTTCATTGTCTTTGCACTATTTAATTAGCTTCGGCTTTGTATTGATGAGTCAGTATTGTCAGTAGTGTCCTGATCACTGCACAGATTAACATCTTCTGAATTTGTTGTGGTGTCGAATATATAAAATTATCTATTGACTGATTAATTGCTGCTGTGAACTACAACTCGTAAGTCTTACTTATTTTTCATATTCATCAAATTTGGTTAACATAATGTTCTAATATGTGTTTACTAGGTAAATGTGTGGTTTTGTTCTATATTCTGACGAAAATTGTGTAATAAAATTACTTAAAGTACAGAAGTAAGTAGGTACTTATACGTAAAGAATTTGAACTTGAAAAAAAAAACAGTTGAACTTGAAATATTGTCAACAAAATGACAGTACAGCATGCCATTGCTATTTGTGACTTGAAATTGTTGGCATTCCATATTTATTCTTATTTGCTTGGAGGTTACCGGAGGCTCAATCGTCCCCACTTCCCAATCTCAAGTCCCTATCCATCTTCTCTGGTACCGCGGGTGTCCATGGGCGGCGACGATTACTTACAGAGAATCCGTCCCTTCGTTTGCCCCCTGTATCATAAAAAAGTGATTCTCTGACGGTTTTGATTGAGGTTCTGTTACAAAGCCAAAATGCTTCTTGACATTAACAGCAAGGAAGGAAAATACAAATCAAAATATTTGCGCAGTGCTCTTGAAGTATCGCAGTCGGTGCAGAATAGTCACTTAGGATAAACAAACATTTTGACCTACTATCTTGCTTGTATTATTTATTCTCGAAGCAATGAACTCTAGATGGCTTACCCTAAATGTCAAAATTCGTTTGGTGTATGTGTGTACTTAGTTTGTATGTTCGTAGTATATTTATTGGTATCGCTAACATATTAGCACCGGTTAAAGCGGTGACCCGTTTCTCCTGCATTAAGCTAAACCTTGTTTATTTGGCTTCTTACTTGGAAGGTCGGTCCGGCCAAGGTTATGATCGTAATAAATTTGAACTTGAGCTCTAAATCCTTCAGGGATTCTTGGGGAGCATTCAAATAGGTTAGGGGTTACTCCTTTCAAGGAGATTACGTGCTGAAAGGTCATAAAACACACGATACGTTATGTTAATTGTTCTTGTATGTAAGAAAATCTTAAATTTTTTTTTACTTGCTTGATAAGTAATGAGTCTTAGCAAAATGTTCAATGAATGATGATCGACCATGGAGGGCTGGGCCGCCAGCCTTTGGAGAGTATTATACCGATCTCATTAAAGATCCTCATTGTTTATATGGGTCCTTTAGAAAGATATTCAATGCATACACAGCCCTTTCTGAGGATCTCAAACGAGTTCGATATAATGTTATTCTGGGGCAGCTTCTATATAAGTTACCATTATCGTTCCCGTAATTCTATTTTGATTAGTGAAATCGTTTTAAAATACATTGTCGTACAGGTGTATTTACAGGTGTACCGTAGTCTGTACCTATACTCGTGTGTCGCAAGCGGTGTTGCGCCATGAATCGGTGCGGGCGCGCTTGCCAAACTTCGTTGTTATTATATCTGGGGGATTTCACTTTTGCAAATCTTAACCTGACATTCTGAGACCGGCTAATGACGTTGTTTTTATTTCCTTTTAGATTTTTTACGACATTATAGCATACCTGTTACTTAGAAACATTAGGACATTTAGGACGGTTGCGTTAAACGTTCAGCTCGTGGAATAGATTAATTTTTATTTTTTATACTAGTAGGGGGCGAGTTTATAGGCATAGACTCGCCAAAATAATTTCAGTCTATGTAATACATCATTCCGTGTATGTTACACTGTACTTAAGGAATATCTTATTTATAAGTTTGTTATTAATCTACAAGCCTATTCCGGTAGTCGGCCTCGAACCTAGTAACGTGAATGTAATGAGTTGTATCTGTCCGTTCCAGGCGTACCTACACAGTTGGCGCTCTGCAGACGAGCTGAACATGTTGGTGGGTGCGAAGGTCGGAGGAGCGACGCCACTAGTCATCGCTTGCAGAAACGGTCATTACGACGTCGCCGAATATTTAATCGAGAGATGTAAAGCAGACATCGAACAACCTGGTTCAGGTAATAAAGACATTTATTTCATCGGAAGATACAAAAACAATATCCTGGTTTTTGTCGTGTCATCGGTGCATTTCCATACAAAACGTAATATCATTCTATTCGATTTACTTTGTTTATACTTTTTCGGTTCGATTCTGGAATCGGAACAACAATTAGTGGACCACACAAACTGTCCGTGCAGTCATTTAGTTTAGTGTTATTGAAACCCCGTGTTTCACATCTATACATATGCTATTTGTTATCATCCATGCAAATCTTTTGGTGATAAAAAATATCACAACAAAAGGAAAGCCGTTTATAGACATTTTCTTTATTTTTTCTTTTACTTATTTTTTAAATAATATCATCGGGGTATAATTTTGGTTTCCGCTAGTTTGATGCGGGGTCCGTCATCCTGGGCCGTACATATGTATTGGCAATATCAGGAATATTATGTTTTGAATTTATTCCTCAATGACATTCCAATTTGTCGACGTTGGCATCAGTCGGCAAATGCTGTCGTCGATCATCTTTCGCCGACAATTCGACATACTCTGTCGACATAACGTGTCGGTCAATTAGGACTCAGTTAATCAGTAGCTCCTCTTGTAAATACTATTTTTTATTTGTTCCAAGCCACATATCGTCACGGGATGGGTTGTCGTAACTGCTTTCCAATTGCGTCAATACTTTGGCCAGAAGCCATTTCACTACTAATTGTTTCTCTAAAACTTCGGCAACCAATTATTTTATGTACAACGAAAATTTATAACTTGCTTCGAATGACGAATTTTGAATGATTTCCGCATTGCCCTATAATATGTTTACATTTACATAATTATGTTTACATAATAAGTAATAGACATCTTAAATCAATATAGAGTGCAACAGCGTGTAATCAGTGTACCTGCGTCACAAGAACGCACAAATGTCCTACCTAGCTCACAAACAGGTCTCAGGACTAGCTCAGAATCGAAAGAGAAAGAGTAAAATTAACTATCTCTTTACTGTTTGATGTTTTCATAATTATTTCTAAAAATTATTTGTGTAACACAAATAATTTTTAATTTTATTTGTTTCGTCTGTAAAAAATGTTTTGAATGTACAATACATTTGGTAACGTGAATGTTGCAGTGACATTCGACGGTGAGACGATAGAGGGCGCTCCCCCGCTGTGGTGCGCCGCGGCAGCCGGGCACCTGCCGCTGGTGAAGCTGCTGGTGCGCGCCGGGGCCAATGTCAACTCCACAACGAGAACACACAGCACGCCGCTCAGGGCAGCCTGCTTTGACGGCCATTATGATATCGTTAAGTTCCTAGTCGACAATGGCGCCGGTAAGTCGAACCACTGTGCAAAAATACATGTATAATACTAGCGGACCCAACAGACGTTGTCCTGCACATTTACTTGAATGTATAAATAAAAATTCATTCAAATTAGTTCAGCTGTTTAGGATAAATAACCTAAATATCGACTGCAGCGCCAACTGCCGGGCTGATTTGTGAATCTAAACCATTCTCAGATCCCCTTGAACACACACAAAAATTTTATCAAAATCGGTCCAGTCGTTTGAGAGAAGTTCAGTGACATACACACTCACATAAGAATTATGTGAAAAATCAATTGTTGAAATGTGAAAAATTCAGAATTTTCTATTTTATTATCTTAAAATTCATCCAGAATACACTTTGCATTAGCAAAAGGCGTTTCTAAGGATTATGTATCTAAACAAAAACTAAATAGATAATAATTTTGATTACAGACATAGAAATAGCAAATCGTCACGGGCACACGTGTTTAATGATAGCGTGCTACAAAGGCCACATTAGAATCGCTAAGTACTTGTTATCACTTAATGCCGACGTGAACAGAAAGAGTGTAAAAGGAAACACCGCGCTACACGACTGCGCAGAGAGCGGCTCACTCAATATACTCAAAATGCTGTTAGGGCACGGAGCTACTATGGACGTAGATTCATACGGTAAATAATTTCAAATGATTTTTAGTCATTATTAATTCGTTCTATAGATGCAAACATATTAACGTATCCTTGTTTTGTTCCGCAGGTATGACACCACTCCTAGCAGCATCTGTTACAGGACACACGCATATAGTAGAACACCTTATAAATGCTGAACATGGACTTGTAACGAGACAACAGCGCATCGACGCGCTAGAGCTGCTCGGGGCGACCTACGTGGACAAACGACGCGACATGGTCGGGGCGCTCGCATTGTGGAAGAGAGCCATGGACGACAGGTATATTATTAACACTATTCCAAGTATTGTCTCTAAAAGAAGTAGAATACTTACAGGTTTTTAAAATCATTCTTATGTGGTTTCAGATTCCCTGCGGACGGTAGCGAACCCATTCCCAAGCCTAAAGACGTCCCACGCATAGAAGCTTACGATTTTGCGGTGGAGCCCAGCAATGCGCAACAACTAGAGGAAATACTCGCCGACCCCGACGGCATGCGGATGCAGGCCTTGGTGATCCGAGAGAGGATCCTGGGCCCGGCGCACCCCGACACGTCGTACTACGTGCGCTACCGCGGCGCCGTGTACGCGGACGCCGGCCGCTTCGTGCGCTGCCGCCAGCTGTGGCACCACGCGCTCGACATGCAGCGCGCCGTGCTGCCGCCGCTGTCGCCGCTGACGCAGTCGTCGCTGTACTCCTTCGCCGAGCTCTTCTCCTACATGCTGGCCGAGCGCGCGCGCCCGCCGCTGCGCGGCCGCATCGTGCCGCCCGTCACCTTCGAGGACATCGAGCCCGTGTTCTCCAAGGCCCTGGACGAGATCCACCGCGGCACGGAGCTGCTGGACTCCAAGCTCAGCATCGACCGCGAGCAGACGCTGAGCACGCTGCAGCGAGTGCTCGTCATCTCGCTGCACCTCGCCGCGCTCATGGCCCGTCTGCTGGAGGAGCCCGACTGTACCGAGGACGTGTCCAGAAAGATTCACAAGGCTGTATATTCACTCGTTAAGTTAGACATTACGGTGAGTGTTCTTCATTTTAAAACGTTACAACAATTTGAAGGTATTTGTACCTTTCGAATATGAGACACAATAGAAAATACATTGTCTCGCGTGGATCCACGTCTTAGACACACGAAAGGTTAAATGACTTCAAATTATGGATGAGCATTAAATAACAAATTAATACCATTGTGTCCATGTAGAAATCAGGAAGCATCACAGCAAATGAGTTTAGTGATCGTGGGGATATGTTCATTGTACATAAATAAATATCATTGATTGAATGATGAGTTTCAGTTTTCATTCAGTAACAAAAAAAAATTGGAGGTGTCGTGGTCGAGATCGTGAGATTATAGGAACGTGTTGCATGTTGCAGGTCCGGCAGGGCCGGTCCGCGCTGCACGTGGCGTGCTCGGCCGAGGGGGCGCGGGGGCGCGGAGGGCGCGCCTGGCTGGCCACTGAGCCCTCGCCCCCCGCGCCCCCGGCCCGCCTGGTCACGCTCATGCTGCGACTGGGCGCGTCCCCGGACGCGCGGGATGCCGACGGCAACACTCCGCTGCACCTCGTCTGCAAGGTACACGTCTATGCTGCCTTCCTCGTATCAGCTTCTTTTCGTTCACATACGTGTGCCATATTCGCCAGTTTCATACGCAGATGAAGTATTTACTAGACGAGTCCTCATGGCCCATTGGTATGTCGCAGCTGAACCCGTGCCCCGCGGAGGTGGTCCGCGAGTTGCTGGCGCACGGCGCCCACATCGACACGGTGAACTACGAGGGCGAGACGGCGGAGCAGATCCTGAAGGCGTCGTCGCAGAGCCTGTCGGGCATGGTGAACCCGCTGCGCTACACGTCGCTGCGCTGCCTGGCGGCGCGCACGGTCAAGAACTACCGCCTGCCGTACCGACACGTGCTGCCCCTGTGTCTGTACTCCACGGTCCTCACGCACTGACCGACGCCCGCCGACTGCGTTTTGAGACTTGTACTTTTGTTTAAATCGTTATTTTAGCGTTTTAGATTGGAATGATCAGTGTATATTTTAGGATCTTTTTGAGGCTACGTATTCTTTTAATTCGTTGTAATACCACCGATTCGATACCTTTACTTGATAAACTGCCATACGAAATAGACTCATAAGGCAAAGGTATGATTCGGGTTTATACTAAAATTGAGAACAAAGGAGAACTTAGATATTAGTGTAGTCAAAGAAGCGATTAACGTCAACGCCTGCCGTCTAGGGTAAAGTTATTATAGGTAGTTGGAATGTCAGTTTTAGCATAAACTTGGTGTTACTCTGATGTCTAATTTGTCACAGTATTGTAAAATCGGTAGCTCAGCTCAAAGCGGAATTTATATGTTACTATGTATTATATCAATACGATTTACTAGTATAACTTCATGATTCTGTGAATTTATGTTTTATACTTAGTTTTTCTTTTTAGTTAACTCTCATAGTTTATACATTTCAAATCTATTATTGTTTCGTATTGATTAATTATTATTTTATAATTGTATTGTCCATTGACCGTATGAATGAAGGTACTGTAGCATTATTTTTGTACGTGTCAAAGGTTGCAAATATATAACGTCCTTATAATTATTGGTAGTTTGAAAGGTACCATTTAGAAATAAAATTTCAGTGCTGTGCCGTACGTGATTTGAATAGATGTAATTATGTACATTGGGATAAGATGAACTTTTTAATATAATATATAGTTTATGTATCAGCAAAATTACTGTTGGCGCTTCGGGGCGCCTGGTACAAGGAGTGACGATGCTCTTTATAATGGGTATTACGTAATACAATCACCATCCATGTCACAAATATTATTTTAAACATTTTTATTCGAAGCTCAAATAAAATGGTTATTTTGTAATTTCCATATCGTAATGACCTCTATGGATGGATATAGTTTCCTCCAGGTGAAGGTAGACTATGTGAAATTTCGCAATGATTATAAATAGATGAAGCTGACTCATGGCAATCACATTATGTTATGTACATATATTACAGGATCTCGCAGAATAGCTAACTGACAGAGCCATAGCTAACTGTTCTACTAGATAACTTTGATTAACTTAATTTTGGACTGTAATACAAGATGACTTGATCTGTTTGTAATCGTTGGCGTGTCCGTGATATTTGCTTTTATTATTTGACTATGACTGTGACGCTGCGTCGTTGCACGGTTGGACTAGAGTCACTAATCGAGTGTTATCGACTTAAATCCTATCTCTAGTCCTCTATTATTTTAGTACATCTTGGACTTATTACACTAACAACTTTATTTGTACGTGATCATCGCTTTATGCATATATCAATGTAAAAACAAATTAGACGTAAGTAGGCATATTAGAAATTAACGGAGATACGTATAAATTGGTATTGTATATTATTAGTAAATTGGATAACGACAAAGTAAACTACTAGTACTGAATTGTTAAACAGTTGTTGTAATTTTGTAACAACGATATTGTTCGCTACTTTGTGTGTATTTCCTTATAGTATATTATTGTAAATTTAGTAATACTGCGTGATTATATGCTAGTTATTTTTGAAATTAATAAAATGCTTTAAAATAATACGTTTGATATTTTATTATGGTTGCCTCCCTTATTACTCTGTATGCGCAAACAAACAAGACCCCATTGTAACTCACAATGTCAAAAACCGACCACATTCACTTAACAAGATAATTATGGCATTGTTCATTAATGATACAATACTTAGCATTGTCATTAATATTCGTATCATAACTCCACATACATTAACAGTAACATTACAATGTAATGTATAGTTGTTGTTATGGTTATAACTAATTCGGAACATGAATTTGTAGAATTCCCACTCGTCCCCTAGAGGGGCAAAATTAAGGGTGACGAGCGGGAATGACACGAGTTAGAGCAGCAAAAATGATTATTAACAGCCCACTGTTGGACTAAAGACTAAGGACTAAATTAGAAAATCTGTTTAACTGGCCAAGATAAAGATCAACTACATAGCTACAAAATAATTAATACACCAGATCATCTCTAAGTTTGATTTATTAAGAAAAAGATACAAATATATGATATTATAATGTATATCAATGTATCGATAATGTATATAAAATATCAATGTATCGATGTGCCACAGTTAATGGTCGTACCATTATATTATTATGTAACTTATGGAAAAGTGTGTTGTACACAACACAGATAACTTTTGAGCCGTGTATGCATGACACAACCAATCAATCCTGGAACAAGCCCTTAAATTCACGCGTGTCATTGAGTAGCGTGTCCAACTCCTGTAAGGAAGCCCCTGGAAACATCGTCCAAATGAGTTTTGCTGCTACCATACGGCTTTTCAACATCTTCGCCATGGTAACTCCTTCAGCATCCTTGATATTGCCCATCTTTATGACCAGTTCGACGGGAAGCTTTTTCAATTGAAATTTGCGCAGTCCGCATATAAGAGGCCAGAAGGAAAAACACTGTATCATGTGCTCTGTGCCACTCACGGCGGATAAGTAAAGTTTGCTCTTGTCGTGATCGTTTTGATCCCATACCAAGCCAAGCTCTTCCGGTTCGCTGGACTGTATTTTCAAGAATTTTTTCCGGTTCTCAAAAACATAAGCAGCAGTGAGGCCCATCAGACGATTGTAAGTGATTTCATAATCCTCCACTTTGATTTTTGGTCCGGTTTTCTTTATGAGCAGTGGAGTGCTGGAACAATGAACAACAAGTCACAAAAATAATACGGTTAACATCGTAATGTAGATCTAAATAGGTAAGTATAGACGTGCTGGACGTGCATGACTTCGGATTTCGATGGAGGAAACGCCGGGGAGTCCTCAATGCGAAGACCGCGCGGAGGCCAGCGTGGAGTATACGTGTCGGTGTGCCCTGCATGGGCTGAGCGGCTGAGCTCTTGCACTCGGCTTTGGTTCAGGCCATGGTGCGGCGTGAGACGAACTTAGTGGCCGTCTCCTTCTGCAAAAGTCATGCTAGCAAAGAGTCTAGAATTACATGAAACATACGTGTGTTCTATATTCATTCCGTCAACGAGTAGCACACTCCCAGGTTTGATTGACTTTAGTTTCTGTCTCAACTCGTAACCGCGTGCCAGCAGCATCTCGATATTAGCTTCAGAACGTAAGAATTCTGCATCCTTATACACACAGTAAAAATTAGGCCCATTGAACGCGACTGGTGGTTTTTCCTTCCAGAACTCTTGGTTTCAGGCTTGAAAGTGAATTTCTCCATGGCTTCGACTGCAATGAAAGCAACATTTAGCGTCACAACATAACATAACATCACGCTTTTTTATCCCCGAAGAGGTAGGCAGAGTGCACATTTCGGCACTTAATGCCACTGTACAATGTAACACCCACTTTTCACTATTTATGTTATGAGTCCCATGTAATAGGGGGTGAGCCTATTGCCACATACCGGGCACATTTCCAGACTCTGTGCTACTACTGAGATTTTTAAAAACCCAGTAATACTTTGCCCGACCCAGGAATCGAACCCGAGACCCCTTGCCCGGCAGTCGCACTTGCGACCACTCGGCCAACGAGGCAGATAGCGTCACAACTATTTTTTATTTTTTAAATCCAGTCTACAAATGAAACCTCCCCCGGCCGGACGCTCCCCGGATGCCCTCTAAACTAAGACAAATCCGGGGAAACCCGGACGGATGGCAACCCTACGTCCACCCAATCTCACGACAAGCTTTTACATCATTTGAATTGAACAGCATTTGGTCATACAAATTGGAACCTACCACAGAAATATTAAAAAATACGTTCCAATTTGCCTACGTTCCAATGGGGTACCTACTGTAGGTACTGTACGATGAAGATATGTACTTTACAAAGTCGCATGATTCCACTTCACACACATACATACATGGATACACTTGAAAGTTAAATAAAGACTTGTAATAAAATGAAATGACTTACCTATTATTTATTACTAAGGAATCTAATTACGATCTACGTTTGTAATGTTCGTATGCATGTACACAAACAATAAAAAGTTCGTATGCTGTAGGTATTCTAAACAATTACGACTTCAGTTTCCTAGTAAAGTCACCACATTCCACTATAAACAGAGTTAGTGTAAGTTATAAACACGTAGGTATATAGTAGGTACTACGTTACATAAATGTAAGAAGTCGACTATAATCGAATACATGATTGTAATCGATTCTGACGCATTTTTTTTACCTGTATATCTCGAATATGACGTACGTTATTATTTACCGTATTAAAAATTATAAATACTGTGCTAAATGTTTTAACGTCACTCACATCATTAAATTCAACTAAAATAATCAATAATACGTCATTTAAGAAAATAAAACAATAAATTACCTATATTACGCGATTTCACGACATAAGTATTCTATTAAATAACACATAATAGGCAAAATTTAAGTTCTGAAAATAGGATTGTTGTTAGTTTAGTATTTCAAAATAAATCGACTAAAAAGTTCCTAACATCACAACTTTACTCTTTTTAATTTTGTCTGTGGTTGGTATTTCCCCGAGCCGCTTGGTCTCGTTTCGTATTCTTAGCGTAATACTTTTACTAAAACAGTATATTTTTTTATATTAAAGGGCATGGAAGGGGATGGCGATTGTGTTTGGATATTTTGAACTATCTCTGACGAGGAATCGAAGACGCTTATACAAAGATTGATGAAATCTTTTATGTGTAGTATAGTGCCATCTATTTGAGTCTCTTTGAAACTAAAACTTGTTTATTTATGTAGATACAATTGAAATACTTTTTAACTTATTCCCTAAAGATAGGTAGGTGTTTTTTGATTGAGATTGGCTATGTATTTTAGAAATACACTATCAGAAAATTATTGTATTAAACTGTGGTCATTAAAAGGTTTATAGTTATCCATTTCGATAAGAGATGGCGCCACAATACTTGAAATGTGCAGATGCCATGAAT